TAATTGTAAATATTCTAATATATATGAAAACTGCCAACAATTTAATATTAAAAAATCATATTTTAAATTTTGTGACTTGTGGGATTTGAATTTTTTTATAATTTAATATCTATATATGTATCTATATAAATGTAAAAGAAGATATGAGGATGAAATTATATATCTTAAATTGTCCTTTTAAAAGGTATTAAAATCTGAATATTATTGGCAATAAATTTAGGAAATTTAGAATTTTAAACTTGTGACTTAAGAGTTTTTTATATCATTAATTTATTTTGATTCTAAACCAGTTTGTATCGTGGTGAATTTTCACAATTTCTGTACACCGGCTTCGCTAAATATGCATTTTCTACATAAAAACATTTTTCTGGTTACACTTATCATAACTCTGAAACCAAAAGAGAGCAGATATTTATGTTATACGCATTTAGGATTAAAATTAAAAATTTAATTTTCGAAGTGACATATATGTCGTATTGACTTGAAATTTGGGATATTCCTTCCAAAAAAATTATTATTATTATATTATTTAAATTATACAAATTTTCTTATATCTTATGAAAAAAGTATTTATTTTATTTATTTTTTATTAATAAAAATATTGAAGTTTAAATTTTTAATTTTTTACCATGCATTTCTGCAAATTAATTTCGTATTTATGAAAATTAAAACATTTTCTTTAATGCGAAAAATGCAGGACTTATTTTGACAAATCCCAGGATTAGGGAAATCCCGAAAATCCCAGGATTCTGTAATTGGCAGCGCCAATTTCATCATTTAATTCAGTTGAAAATCAGTAGTGTTTTGATTTTCATCAAACCAGGAAAACAAGAAAAAATTCCTGTTTGTGTAAATTTGTTTGATCATTGCCATCACCCTTAAAACTTTCAAATATTGTTTTAAACCCGCGATCGGCAGCCATATACTACAACACAAACCACAAATTTTGTATTTTAAACAAAATTTATTCTTTACAAAATTTGTATTTTAAACAAATTTTATTCTTTAGTTCCACTTTTTCATAAGATAAGAAAATCTGTATAATTCAAATAATAAAACTTTATTTTCACCGATAACTGATATATTCTTCTTATGCATACCCGGGTATGTTGGGTATTGACGTATGAGGTAGAAGTAGAAAATCTGATTAAAAAATCTATACTTAAACAACATAACAATTTCTAAAATGAAAAACATTCCCAAGTTTGTGCATATTGACATAATGGTTAATATATTTCGATTGCTTTTGTATTTTTACCATAAATTTCCCTATTTTATAAATAGTATTTAGTCTGGCATCATCGAAATATTTCTTTCACAAAATGCCAAACTAAAGGTTTTCACGACATTTAGCTTTTACATATGTCAATACATCCAAACCGGCATTTTTTTTCTTCTAAAAAAATCGCCATTCTTTTTTATAATACACACACAAAATCATTATCATCGCTTTTTTTACTACTACTACTCGCGAAAAATATCGACGCCGCAATTATATTAGGTAAAAAGAAAGCCTTTGTTTGAACAAAAATATATTAAAAAAGAAAAACCCTGAAAAGTCCAGATCATCCATTGAAAATGTCCAGTGTACCGAGTAAGCGCGCAAAATTGGATGAAGGCAATTCAAGTACACCCAACGAAGCAGTGACCGAGGCATTGGAATTAATCGATGCATGCCAGAATGATATTGATGCCCTCAACGAAAAGGCTAGCGAGGAAATTCTTAAAGTTGAGCAAAAGTACAATAAACTGAGAAAACCATGCTACGAGAAACGCAGTGAGCTGGTCAAACGCATTCCTAACTTCTGGGTGACAGCGGTAAGTACACAAAACAGTATGGGTTGGGATTCTTCTGCAAAAAGTGTCAAACATTTTTTTTGGGAGGTCTGGTGAAAAGTATTTTTAAAATGCATTTTTTCTTGGGTAACATTTCTGTACCATGAGAAAGAAAACATAAAGGGTTTTGTTTGTTTGTGCCATCTTTTGCTCTTTTTTAGCCATTGTTGCAATATTTATTGGCGCATGTTTGTGTATATAAATCGTCCAGTCATTTTTTCTTTTCGGCTGGCGGGTTAACGTTGTGTACATCTAAATGTAGGGTTGCCTAAAGTTTTTATTAAAGATAGGGGAAGATTCGAGAATAGGTTCACCTATTTTCGCCGAATTTCTATACACATGTTCGGTTATTTTTATTTCTTGTCGACCGGAAGTGTAAACCCGTTAAAATGGTTTATGGCGCAAACTCGATATGATCATCTAAAAAACTAAAACTCGATCAAAAACATATAATTTAGGTATTTTGGAAGATACAGTTAAAAGGGACTTAACGTGTACAATATTTGTTTTTATAACCATTTCTGAAAATGTGCTGCTTCTACTAAAATCTAGGCAAAATTACCCATTTTGACGAATGAGTTTAAGATGGGCAGTATTATGAGATAGAGATTTCCCTATGTATGAGAAAACTTATCGCTCTTACGGACCTCGGTCACTTGTCCTGCGCCCTTTTTTCTGAATGATCCTTTAAACTGTATTATACAAACTTTGATCTGTTGGATTCTGCGTATATTCTTAAATGTTCTTTTAACTCAAACCTGCTCCCTGGCATGTACATGTCTTAACATATATTGCTAAAATTTGGGACATCCCAGACTGAATAATGTTAGAATGATGTGTTTCTTAACTGTGAAAATTATAGTTTTTTTATTTGCATGCGATCCGTGTCAGTATTAGACTGTAAAAGTTCTATAAACCACTGAACAAACAAATGTCTTATATAGAAGAGAACCTTGTTTTAACTTGTGCCTGATTATGGCCTTAAAACATAACTTGATCTGAGACCATGAAAGAGATAAACATAGACAAATTTAATTAAAACACAGGATCATAAGCTAAATATGTGCTTTAGTTAGTTTGAAAGGAAGGTTAGGTATATATAGGACTCCACATACATATCTAAAATCCAACAGGTCAAAGTTTGTATACTGTATGTATGTTGTGTATCTAACCCACGATCTCCGTCCTGACAGACTATACCAATAACTACTAACAACACAAATTTGGGGCAATATTGCTTTCGGCGTATCCCTTTTTTAAAAAATAGATATTAACAGTAGAAGTAGATTTTTTGTTAGTAATTTATTATACTGCCGCATAATTTATTTCCTCTAATACACATAGAAGTTTAGCTGTACTTTATAAAAGTACAATTACTGTACCCGTTGGTAACTCTGTAGGTATTGCTTTGCTTTTATTGTTATTTTCTTTTTTTGCTCCTTTTTACGCCTTCTCATTGATTTTCGTACTTTTTTTATTAACAAAAATTATGTTTGTTTGTATTTGTGCACATGTTAATAAAATTTCTATGTTGTGTTTTGCACACAGTGGGCATAGACGTCTGACGACTGTACACAATTTTATTAATTGCGCGCGCTCTCTATCTCACTCCCTCATTGTGTATATTCTCTTCTCATGTATCTATTACAATTTACAGTTTATTAATCATCCACAAGTTTCGGGCATATTGGATGAAGAAGAAGAGGAATGTTTGCATGCCTTAACCAAATTGGAAGTTGAAGAATTCGAGGACATCAAATCCGGCTATCGTATACACTTTTATTTCGAAGAAAATCCCTATTTTGAAAATAAAGTCCTAACAAAAGAATTCAATTTGGGATCTGGTAGTAAGTAAACATGTAGTTTAAAGTAAAAACATTTTTTACATTTCTGTTATAAACTCTTTTTAAAGCTGCTGAAAATAGTGATTGTCCTTCATCGACAAGCACGTCTATACAATGGAAGGAGGGTAAAAATCTTTTAAAACAATTGCTTTCAAAACCCTTCACCAACAAAAAGAAGAGACATTCTGAATACAAGACATTCTTTGATTGGTTCACTGATAACAGTGACCCCGTCAACGATGAAATTGCCGAACTCATTAAGGACGATTTATGGCTTAATCCTCTGCAGTATTATCTGGTACCTGATATTGAGGTCGAACCAGAAGATGACGATGAAGACAATGAGGATAACGAAGAGGAGGTCTTTGATGATGAGGACGGTGAGGGAGAAGAAGATGAGGATGATGGTGAGTGTTAAAAGTATGTTTTATTTTTTCTTTTAATTTTGCTGTTTGAAAAATGTATATTTTTAATTAACTTTTAAATATATTCAATTGCAGATGACAAGTAAGGAGTTAATATATTGGAAGATATAACGTATATTATTATATATATATTTAATATCCGTAATAAATTTGATTCCATTAAGAAACGTGTACGGAGAAAAACAAAATTTCATATTAGAATTAAAAATAAAAAAGTTTCATTTTCAATAAATACTTTAAAAACCAAAATTGAATAAACATTTGTTTAAATTGTTAATGAAAACAGACTTTCGAAACTTATTCGTATCTATCGAACTTACATTTTTGGGTTCAACAATTTGGGGCTTAGTTGAAATTCTATAGTTCGAAATCCAAATAATGTACGTTTTTTAAAAGTTGAAATCGACTTGTCATGAAATAATCAAAAAATCGACTTAGTAGAATTTTTAGCGTTTTCTTTAAACGGGAGGAGTTCAGTTATTTAAAATTTAGTGGGAAAAACTTTGAGAATATGAATACTATTCTTTAGTTTTATATTTAACTCTTGAAATTTGATGAATGAATTACGTGTACTGCCACTTCTGTACAAATAGATCAAACAGTATGAATAATATAAGAAAATATTCTGATTTGAAAAGTTATCAAAAATAGAGCTATTTTCGACTAATTTTTCAAATATAGGACTAGGGTAAAGTTAATAGTTTTTAAAAACTTTTTCTTTCGATAGGAAATACAACGATTAATAATTTTAGTCGATTCAATCTTGATTTTAATTAAAAAACCGTTTCTTTTTTATGAACGGGTAATTATTCATATTATTATTCGATAAAATTCAACTCTGCTGCAAATATAACAAAAATACTACCAACAAAATACAACCATGTGTGTTAAATTTGACATAATGAACGACCGTAGTTTTTTGACAGCCGTACACTTGCAAACTGTTCGTGATTTTTTTCTGCTCTGAATAAACTTTGGCGAAAAACGATGGCAGCCGTAAATAAATTATCTGTTTTGGTAAGTTTTTATATAATAAAATTATACAAAATTATTTTTAAGCAGCCCCAATGGAAGGGGCAAACTTAAACTACCCGAAAATTCCGACAATGTGAGAATTTTCCGCTGGAGAAAATTACCCAACCAAAGTTTTTGGTTATGTAATGTTAACGATAAATGGGTATAATGGAAATGTGATAGTTAATAAAATTAAGGAAATTTTAAGCTTTATAATAAAACAACTGTTAAAGGAGTTATCTTTTAATATTACAGAGCCGTGCCATGAGCACCTCCACTCAAATGGTTAAGCCACCAATACAGGTTTTCGGCTTGGAGGGCCGTTACGCCACTGCCTTGTATTCGGCTGCAACTAAGGCCAAGCAATTGGATCAAGTAGAAAAGGACTTGGCTGCTTTCAGAGCCACCCTTGCTGAAGACAAGAAATTGCGCGAACATGTCACCAGCCCCATCATCAACAAGAAGGTTATGGCTACCGCCTTGAAGGAAAGTGCTGCCAAATTGCGTTGGGCTCCATCCACTGGCAATTTGTTGGGTCTTTTGGCCGAAAATGGTCGCTTGAATGTTTTGGATCGTGTTATCAATGCCTTCCAAGTTATTATGGCTGCCCATCGTGGTGAAGTTGTTTGCGAAGTTGTCACTGCCAAGCCTTTGGATTCTTCCCAAAACAAACAATTGGAAAGTGCTTTGAAGGTATAGTAGTTAATTTTAATATTTTACTGGGATTTAAATAATATGTAAACATTGGTCCGTTTTATCTTTTTTTAAGGCCTTCTTGAAGAACAACCAAACCTTGAAAATCACTTCTCGTGTTGACCCCAGCATTATTGGTGGCATGATTGTATCCATTGGTGATAAATACGTTGACATGAGCATTGCCAGCAAGGTTAAAATGTACACTGATGTCATTTCCTCCGCCGCTTAAGTTAAATAAAGTTTATTTAAACAAATGATAAAACTATAAATATTTGTTTTTAAAGAACTTTAAGTTCTATTAAAAGTTTTAAGTTAATTTTATTTTGAATATACCTACCTACATACAAAATAATTATGTTGTAACGAAATTAAACTGCTTTTCAAAAAGATATTTCCGAATTAATACATATAAAGAACAACTCTTGGATGAACGATGTTTTACTAGAGTAAAACAATAAACAACAATAAAAGATAATGGATGCTAAAAAAATTAAGCTTAATCTAAGCTAAAAACAAAAAAAAAAAAACAAAAACAAAATTTTCAGTTTGTATCATTGCAATTTTTTTCATGACCTAGTTTCTTTATCGTCTATAAAAAATATTCATAATTTTATTTTGGTTTTAACGGAAAAAGAAACAGCAATCATAGTGGTTTTTGCCAAAAATATAGTTTAAGGGGAAACACGAATGCACAGTGTAACGCTTAATGAGAAGGTTTTAAACATTTTAAACTAAAGCGACTTATTTTTTATATTTATTAATAATTCATCATCGCGCTGTTACATGACAGGTCCGAGTAACTATACCATGGAAAACTGAAATGAATGATACAATTTTGCTAAAAATGTTTAAATTAGCAAATAGTAAAAAACAGTAACAAAACCTCATTAGATACAGGCCAGTAAACACTGAAACAAAGAATAGCAATGGCACCTTCCGTCTGTCCGTCCCTTTATACAAAAAAGAAAAAAACAAGCGAAAATTAAACAGAATTTTATTTTTATATCAATGAACTCGTATCTCTACTACGCAGGCGTGTGGGTGTGAGACTCAATTAAAAACAAAACAAATAAATTTTAACTCAATGCTGTTTTTTGATGATGATGTTGATGATGATGGTATTAAATTAATGCAGAAAACCTTATGCAATATGTAGTTACAACCATTTTAGGGAAAAACTAACAAAACATTAACAATTTTTGCAAAAAAATAGACAAAAAATATTTGCCTATTTTCATTATTTTTTTATATTTGAACTGAATTTGAGTGTTAGCAAAAGTTAATAAGTTTAGGTGTAAATTATTAACATACTTTAGTATAGTGCTGAAAATTAAACTAAACATACGAAAACGATAAAACGCTTTAAAAACAATTAACGATTTTGTTGTCCTTTTTATGGACTAGTGATGAAAAATTAAAAAAAAAGAAAAACGAAAATCAATATAAAATATAAGAAAGTAAAACCATGCATTGGTTAAGTGGTTTAATAGTGATCTTAAGCTGTTTGCTAACATTGTGTCAAACACAAAGCTTTAGATATCCAGCTCAAAGAAGAGCTGGTTACAGTTATACACAACCCTCATCATCATATTATAATCAACCTAAAAACTATTATCAATCATCAGCAAATAGTCGATATACTCCAGCCAAAAGTTCAACTTCATATTATAATAGTCTAACAAATCCCTCTTATACTAATTCCTATACAAAACAGTCATCAACTCAAAGGAACTCATATCCTTACAGCAGTTCAGCAGCTGCTTATACAACAAAAGCTACGACGCGACCTTATAGTCAATCATCGGGATTAACAAATTCAATAAATCGCAATTATGAAGCAACTCCTTCAAAAAACACCTATTATAGCAATTCTGCTAATAGCTACTCTAAAGGATCTTATAATTCATTATCGGATAGCTCAAATAGTAAACAATATTTAAGCAATTCATATAATTCAGATAATTATAAAAAGGATAGTTCCAGTAGCGACAGCACAGCAAATACTAAAGGCAAGAATCGTGTTAGTAAAGCTGATGCAGAAAATGCCAAATTTGCTGGGGCTGATAATCAGGAGAATGAAGAAGATGCCCGTACTGTCCACTTGAAACGTAGAAAATTCCATCGTCGTTTTGGTGGAGTCCTGGGAAATCCCTGTTCACCTTTTGGCCGTGATGCTGCCAATGGTGTAACACCGCCTCCTAAAGAGCAAGGACGTATACTGTGGGATGTTAATGTTTACAATGTTTTTCCTCAAACTTCGGCTGGTTTAGGTTGTGGTGGTTATGGAGGTTTTGGTGGAGGTCTGGGTGGTGGTTTGGGTGGAGGTTTGGGTGGTGGTTTGTTATCGGATCCTATAGCTCCCGCCTATTATCCACCTGGTGCGGGATTAGCTAATTTTTTGGGTTTATTTGCGCCTGGTATATTGCAGAATACTTTGGCGGTTACTGCTCGACCGCCTCAGTATGCTGACTATGCACAGTCGTCGAATATAAACAACAATGATTTACAAAATGATCCAGAAGTAGATCCAAATTATAGACCAGGTGGGGGAGGAGGTGGTACATTACCAGTAAGAAGACCTAATCGTGTTTTCTACGATTCGGTTGGAGCGGTACGTACAAAAACCAAATTTCTTTAGAAAATCAAAATTTCCTTACAAAATCCAAATTTCAATATCATTAGAAAATCGAATTTTCTTTAGAAAAAATCGAACTTTCATTAGAATTTCTAAGTTTCTTAGAGATTCGAATTTGTAGCAGAAAATGTAATTTTTACTAAAATATCGAATTTCCTAGAAAATCAAATCAAAAATTTTCAGTACAAAATCACATTCCAGAATTTCGAAGAAAATGCTATTTTCTTTAGAAAATCGAATTTTAGCAAAAAAAATTGTATTAAGAAATCAAATTACCTATAAAAATCTAATTTTCATCGAAATTCGAATTTTCTTTAGAAAATAAAATTTTCACTGGAAAATTGATATTTCACTATTTTTTCGCTAAAAAGAACTTTATTTTATGTTTTTATTTTCCTTATTTCAGCCTCCTATAACTCCCGGCCAATTAGTGGGCGGTATTGCTACGACAGTCAACGGTATCATACAACAGTTAACCGGTAACGTGCAGCCAGTTTATGGATGATTTTGGAAATCGTTTGAGTCATGTTGCTGTTTAATATTACTATTATTTTATAAGCTGTTTTTTTTATAAATTTTTTATTGTTATTTAATATTATTGTTATTTTTTATACAACAAAAATAAAAAATACGAGCGAAATAAAAAAAAAAAAATAAATATTGCAATTGTTTTAATAATAAATATGAGAATGATTTTATTTCTTAGATGAGTATTTTCCGCAATTTTAATTTG